ATATTACAGGAAGGAGGGGGGGGCGGAGGGGGGGGAGGGGAGACATTAGCAGATGAGGTTTAATATTGAGAAGTGTAAGGCTATGCATTTTGAAATAAAAAATACACATGCAAGCTACTCATTATTGGGCATCCCACCGAGGGAATCAGAGGTGGAAAAAGATTTGGGAGTCCTAGTGGACAGCTGCCTTAGTGGCATGCACTACCAGGCTACAGCAAATAAGACAAGCAAGTTACTATCATTCATACAAGAGGGAGTATTCTTTAAAACCCATAATTCTCCACCTGTACAAAACACTGGTTCGGCCACACCTTGAGTATGCGGTTCTGTTTTGGTCACCGATCCACAGAAAGGATGTCTTTTAACTGGAGAGAGTCCAGGGAAGTGTGACAAAGCTAATAAAAGGGTTAAAGGACCTTTACAACACACACATGGACCATGGAGAACAAAAGAAGGAAGGACAGTGTGAGCACCAATTCAGCACTAATTCAGCACCAATTCAGAGATGATTTGAGTATCTACAGCTGATTGATACACAAATTAGCTACATTTTTGTTAATAGTTAAGATACTTGAGTGCATTTTTAAGGTTTAACTCCTCAATTTAGTGCTACTTTAACTCTAACAGCTGTGCTGTCTAACCCCGTTGTATAAATCCCGAAAGGGGCCGGACAGAATTAGAAATCATTTGGCAAATTAGACAGTTCACATGTGTATTTTTGTATTTAGCAGTTTGCCTGGGATTCATATTTCAGGCCCACTTTCCTCCATTGTGTATAAAAATTGGAGACAGTTGGGACCTCATCTTATCCTGATGTTAAGAGCACTAATAATTCTCCAATCAAACCTTCCTCCTTTTTAATGCCCCATCAATGCTACAAATTCAACACATTCTATTGCATTTCCACAGCAGAATGTTTAGGTCATTTCAAATAAACGTCCTTTAAGTTAATTATAGTGAGTGGTCATTAGGAGAGCTCATGTGCGTAAATGAACACTTTGCTTTTTTAAAACACAACACGGGTACAGTAGGTCTAATTATTCACCCCTATAACGTCCCTTTAACCGTGCTCTTCCAGCTGCAGAGACAGGTCCTCCGAGAAAAGCTGCTGTTCTATTAATACTAATTTGGAATTTTAACATGACTCCACTGAAAGACCTCAGGTGATGAGTGGTCAGTAGTTACTTGAAACACATTATCTCATTTCACGGCACTAATGTGCCCAACGCGATAATGGGCCTGCTGAATAGTGAAGAGTTATAGCTTTTGCTATCCCCACAAGGAGTATTTGCAAACTTTATCATTTAATAGGTCAGCTGCCCCTACAGTAACTTACTTCTCCTTGTACTTGGGAAGAGTTTTCAAACTTAGCACTTTCGACTGATAGAGTGTCTCGGTTGCTGGGTTTGATTACAGGGCAAGCTCTGGATCGGAAAGGCCCCGTTTCCCACTTTAATCAATCAAGAACTTTATTGCAAAAGCTGACAAAACTGCAAACTTGTGCTTATTCAGCTTTGCAAGAGAAGGACAAGCTGTCAGTCTCAACCAAGGCTAGAACCACGCTTTTCTATTTTCATTTTAACGTGCTCGTGTCGAGGGGTGTAGATTTGGTCTAGCAGATGGATGCAGAGATATTGAATACGTGCGAACCATCTTTTATTTATTATTTATAGACCATTGCATTGAAGGAAACCTTTCTTGATTAAATAAATTGGCAGCTATCTGTGACCTTCTATGAATGCTTGACCTTCTATGAATGCTGTTATATTGGCTGCTTTCCTGATCCCTGAGCGTTCAGAGTCTTTCAGTACTTTACAGGCTTTCAGTACTTTCAGAGTCACTAACCGAGAGCAAGTATGCACCATGTAAGGTCAAATCTCCTGATAGCTCAATGACTGGAGTGAGAAGATCAGCATGACAGCTAGGCAACTAACATTTTCAAAAGGAAGTCAGCAACAACAGCCTATGTTTTTTTTCCCCACGGCAGGTTATCCATCAATATAAACATTTATATTGTGCCAGCCTCCATGATAATACAATCAAGGGAGGAGATAACTCCAGCACTGGGCTTGTCTCATGCAAAAAAATCCAGTCTGGTCTATTGTCTTTGCCACGGGGGAACAATCAGCTGGCAATATCAGCCAACAGAGGTTTGAAGCAAAAACTTTTTTTTTCAGTTTTGGATAGAGTAGAGAGGGACTAGACCATCTGTCAGGTTGTTATTGCTGTCTGTGTGCCCATTAGGGAGATTCACCCTTTCTATTTCTCCTGGTGACCAATTATCACTGAAAGTGAAAGAACATCCCAAATGTTGGCTTCCCACCAAAAGAGCAATAGATGGAAAATCTTCCAATGGGGACACCTGCTGAGTTCTGATGACACCTGCTGAGTTCTGATGACCCTGCTGAGTTCTGATGACCCTGCTGACCACCAGGAGATTTCACTCACTTGGAGAAATATCCTCTCACTTCCTGTTGCGGCTATCAGACAGGAAGTGAAAGGAAATCTCTGCAAGGGGATGCAGATAGCAAAAATAATAATAATGCTGACAGAGGTTATAACCCTCCTTCATGCTTTTATCCAAATCTAAAAATAAACTTTCTACTTAAAATATGATCTCTGGTGAGACATTTAAAAATATATTATTGCAGTACAAATTCATTAAACTTTTCAATTTGATTTCAATTCAATCTACAGTAAGTAGCTGAATATGCCTTCTCATCGGGTTCCTATCATCTCCTCTATAGGATCCAGTTACAGGCAGGGATAATCAGCACTAGGAGCCATTCAGACTCTGCCTAAGTGCATGTGCTCTGACAGGGAAGGTGTTAACAGGTGAAAACAGAGTGAGCAGAGAGATGATGTTGTCAAAAAGCTGCTATTCCCTCAATATCCAATCAGCAGGTAGGAGGTGTGTTCTTGAACCAAGTTTTCAAAATGACCAGATCTGTTAGCAGGTAAAACATTTTACATATGCATTTTAGTTGTATATTTGGACACTTGCCTGGAGACTATAGTTGTCATGCAATGTTAAACTATTTGGACATATACAAGTAATCCAAGTCTACTATTTGAAGAGCCCCATACCAAAAGAATTAGCCTCTGTCACCACAAGTTTATAATGTTGACCTCTGAGAGATACAAAGGGCAGATTTATGTCACAGCAGGATCACATCCAGACTCCCATACCTTCCAACAATGGGCAACAAAATATGAAATGGCAGGCCCCTCTTTAGCAACCCCAGTTCCCATAATTGCCAATCATATGTTGTGGTAGAGATGAATTCTTCTCCCACTGCAACATGGACATGGAGAGAGCAAAGTGAAGCAGAAGGGACCTCTGCGGACTGGGCCCCTTGACAGGTGCTTGAAATATCTCTGAGAAGTTGTGAATCTTCAAATAATAATTGTGTGACTATTCATTTCAATTATCCAGTCATGTGAAGAGCAAATTCCTGGTTGAAAACCCATCCTTATGTAGATGAAATAACTAAAGTGAACGTGAATTTGCTTTTCCTTAAGTAAATCTATATTGTTGGAATGGAAGAAATAAAGGTACATCCGACAAGGCAGCTATGGTCGTAAATGCACCATCACACATGTAACCTGAAAGGTGTAAAAGAAACAACTAGCATTTATAAAACTAGAAGTTGGAATCATTGTGTTTCCCTCCTCAACTTTACTTCACCAGCCTTGTTACACAGAGTAAAATGTACCACCATTCCAGGACAGCTCTATTTTTAAAGTGTTGTGCTTGCGGCTTAACAGAACCCAATTAGTCACTCTACCTACTTTATCAAATCTATTTGTAAGAGGGCTTTTAATAAAAGTTTTGATTTCACGTAAAAGCATCTGCTTTAGGCACGTAGATCAGCGTTTCTATGTATATAATAACAATTTAGAAATTTGACAAATAGGATGTTAAATTATAACGAAGACAAGATAATACCACACCATGGAAACACATTTACTGAAAAATAAAGCCCCATGAGGATCAAACATAAGATACACTAAAACTGCAAAATACATTAGTCAAAGTTGGATTCATAATCACGTACGATTCCTGTAAAAAGGGTTCCCGCTGTGAACAACATGAATATATAGACATTAATAAAGCATTAATAGGCTGGGATCTGTTGAGCAAAGAGGCATTTCTAATAGGAATGTATAAACATTTCTCAAAGGACTATATAGAACAGCAGTAAGGTAGATTTATCATACCTCCTAACCTATGGGAAAGAGAGACACCTTTTAGCTAAGAATATGATAGCATTGAAAATATCCCTACACAAACCCACCCAATCACATGGACCATAAAGAATTCAAGCACAAGAATGACCACTTAAAACTGCTGGGGCTTTTTTCTTAACAACGCTTATACTGTTGCTTCATATTACCATTTATTAATAACCTTTACGTGAAAGATGGCTTAGAAGTAGGGATGTGCTCAAGTTTGGACTGCAACTGATATGAACCTGAGATCCTCCAAACCCAGACGGTGCTTCTATCTAGCTTCATCAGCTGTGGGCAGGATGATGTAAGCAAAGGGGCAGGATGCGGTGACATCATTGACCTTATATGGCTACACCCTACATTTGGTCAATTTCATTTATCCAATATTGCTATGTGACCTTTTAAGATAAATTACATCTGCACAAACATCCCGCTTCTTTGTAAACATGCAGCTGATTGGTTGGGTGGCCCATGCACTTCCTTGAGGGGAGGGACTCAGATTGGACTGAATTTTGGTTCAAACCTGAGCTTATCCCGAATTAAGGGATAAGTCAATTATCCTTTAATTAGTGCAATATAAACAACTATGACAGGTACATAGTAAAATTTTTTATACAGATCTCTACACCAGAGCTAAAAGAGTGGCATTACAGGAGAACTTAGGGAGTTGGTTTTCCAAGAAGGACAGCCCCTACAAAGGAAGAAGCTATGATTTAGCATCCAGTATATTCAATCAAAGGGAGCAAAAGGTGTAAGATGTGTCCTACCATTTTGGCCGACTTGTAGATTTCACAACTGGAGACATACCATCCCTGTAAAGGCTTTTTGTTTTGCTGAAGTTGACAATGTTAAAAATCACCCTCTGTAAAGCAAAAAGAAACCAGAAAACAAGTCATTGAAGTGGACATTTCAGTAACTTCGTGAATACATTCATAGCATGCCACAATTTACAGCAACAATAATATCTCAAAACATTGTACATTTTATTAATAAAAAGCAGTGTTTGAGTTCCAGGCAAGTGACTTTGCCTAGGCTGAGATACCATCAATCTTCTGCAGGCAGGTGGAAGCATTTCCTGTGTCTCTTCTCCCCCAGTGATCAAACTACAACATAGTAACTTTGTAGCAAATCACAAGGTAAGAGGATGCAACAGTCTTTGCCAGACTGCCAAGCCAGGAACCGCACAGGCATCAGAATTTACACAATTGTGTAATTTCTGAGCCGGCATCTTAATCCAGAAAGTAAATGCTGAATCTGGATGATGCCTGAACAAAGATGGCTCCATTTTAAGGGGGCACAAGCATATGAAGTAATTGAAAGGGGTTGCACTGTTATACCTGACAGGCAATAAATACATCTAAGAGTTACACTTTTTCCAAAAATCATTTAGATTAAAGACCGCATTGAATCTCAATCTAATTGAATCTCAAACTTCACAAAGGTAAATCAAAGGACAAGTTCTACAAACCCTAGATGACCTTTTCAGGGCTCATATACTCAAATTCTGCATGCACTTGGAGTTCTTGTTTTGACTCATATAGAGTGGATCTTATGGGCTGGAACATTATCTTTGCTCCACATGGCAGGATAGTCAGCCTAGAGGTAACCTTTGGGACATTAAAATAATCCAGATGATATACAGCCTTTTTTTGGGGGGAAAGCAATGGAGCTCAATGCAATTTCATCCTCATGAAGTAATCATGCACACTACGTATCACTGCGTAAGATAAAAAATATGTGTGCCCCGCCGTGTTTAGTGGGTTTTTGTTTAGCAGGTCAGGGCACACTTTAAAGAGCTTATTTAAATTGAACCATTACTCAATTGTTCACTTAGGGGCATATTTATAAAGTGCCAGTAAATCTGGCTTTTGTCACTCTCTGAAGGAGAATCATTCGGGTCCATGTGTTTTAAATGACATTGAGTTTCCACCAAAGAATGTTTGGTAAAAGTCATATTTACTATTTTATAAATAGACCTGTTACATGACTTTGTTAATAGACTTGCTGACACATGACCACAAGCCTAGGCATTTTGTCACATGATCTTTATTTAAGCACAGGTTTACCTCCGGTGGGTAAAAGTCCACTTTAAGTTCTACTTTAAGAAAACTGTATACATTGATTACAAACATAGTGAAAATACGTTTTGAGTTTGCATACACTTTAAGGATCTTTTCCTCAGAGCCTGTTTGCATTCCACGAATCACAATAAGGAGATAAAGTATGCAAGCAATTATCTGGTAATCGTGGGCGAGTTCAGCCCTCTCAGTAACAAGTAAGCAGGAGTTTACAAGTTTTACGTGCAAATGCATTTCTCTTCAGCATGATTCAGGGAGGATACACCTTTTAATGGACTTAGCTATAATGGGACAACATCTGCAGAACAGGTGCACAGCATGCTGCGGGAAAGCATTTAGACTGTATGCATCATCAGATTTGCCCACTACTGACTTTCACTGCTGTGTTTTCGCATCAGGCTAAATTTAGTCCTGTAATTGCTTTTTGGATCAGCTATAAAGCGCTCAAGGAAGAAACAAGAATCCTGAACATTCCTTTTATCACTAAGTCCAAAAGTCAGGACAGGAAATTCAAACTTCGCTGCCCTTTCCTTTAAGTGTGTGTGGGAGGGCAGGCAAAGTTAATCACATCACACAAACTCTACCAATTTGTTCTGCGTGCTTAGCATCTCAAGCAGCTCGCAAGGTAAGGATCTGCAAGAGCATTGCCAACAATATCGTCTAAAGAAATAATGTGCCATTGTAATGGCTTTTTATTTAAAAGAAACGACTTATAGTAAAGAGCTGACATTGATCTGGAGAGCGTGAGAAGAATTTAAAATAGATCACTGCCTTTGGATTACGTAAAGGACCATCAAGCTCAAAGTATATGTATTTTTTGTTTTATTTATTTATTACAGGAATTTATATAGCGCCAACAATTTAAGCAGCACTGTACATAGAGCTGTTACGTCTACTGTAAACGGTCGCACTGGAGCGCAACTGCGGAAGGGAGTGATGGCGTGTAAGGGATTTTGGCTTCTCAGGCGTGAGTCTCAGGCTTCACTCCCAGTCTTAAGGGGGAGTTTGAGACTCTTGCATCATAGCCAAATAATTTTAAACAGGAATTTCGTCAATGGGCTATTTCCTCATAGCACCAGCAAAGGTATAGTATAGGGTTAAATGGTGTATAATCTTGTTGGTGAAGCAGTATGTTTACACAGATCTCCTCAACGTCAAATAGAATCTCCCCACAACAGTCTCATAGATATCAGTAGCACAATAGTGTATAGTTCAGCAGCTGACAGTATGTAACAGGCTCCCAGTGGAGCGAATACTTGCTGTTTGAGAGGCGGCAGAGCAGCGAGGTGCAGGGGTTGGGTCCTGCTGGCAGAGTCTTAGGGTTGAGTCAGGAGACACAGTGTGGTTCGGCAGGGTTCAGTAGCCAGCAGGCGTTCAGATCCGATTATTGAACGCCATGCTGCCACAGCTGGGGCTTTAAATAGCCCCAGGATGTGGGAGGAGACGGCGGCCGGAACGAGTGACTTCCATGTTCCACCGTGGAACGCAAGCCGCTCGCGTCAGAACCAGGAAGTCGAGCGACTTCCGTGTTCCACAGTGGAACGCGAAACACCCGACATGGAAGCCGGCAGGACCGAGGCTGCCCGGCGCCGAGAAGAATCATCACAAGAGCATATTCACATCAGTCCCTGCCCTCAAGGAACTTACAATCTAAGGTCCCTATTGCACACACATACTATGGCCATTAGACAGGAGCCAGTTAACCTTCCTGCATGTCTTTGGAGAGTGGGAGGAAATCGACACACCCAGAGGAAACCTACGCAAGCCCAGGGAGAACATGAAAACTCTTTGCAGATAGTGTGCTGAGCAGGCTGGGGACCCCCAGTGCTGCACAGCAGAAGTACTAAACACTAAGCCACTGTGCTATGTAAATCCATTGACTAAAAACTCATATGAGCTTTACATGTTAATGTCATTTCAAAAGTCATTTTTAATACTTTTAAATCTGCAGTTTTGACTAATTAATAATACCTGCTGATGCTGCCATGTTCAGACACTTCTTGTTATTGGGTGGCAATGGTTTGTGTCTGTCACCCAATTGTGCTAGTGCTTCGTCATCCTGTCAGAGGGCTCCGAAGAAGACATTAAATGGCTATTTAAACAGTTATTATGCACAAATAGTCCACAGCTGGCACCATCAGGTAACCCACCCTAAGCAATTACATGCAGCCTGGAGTGCAAATATGCAAAATGTTGCTGAAAAGAGGTTGCAGGAAATCTGCGTGCTGCGTGAAGATGCAACAAAGGATTTTAAAAAAATTGAAAACAAGTATTGTTAAAATAATGGCATTGGTTTATGATAAACAGTGGTTTCATGTCATTCAGTTGGGTTTACTTATACTTTACAACTAAACATTTACAACTAGATACACAGTTAAAATATACTGTACATGGGGGCTGTTTTATGCACCATATAATGTATATGTCTGTCCAATTACTCCTGAGACTCACACATCTCTGCCACATGACATAGTCCTGCCTTATGGCCCCCGGCTGTCTCTGTTTTTCAGTGGTGGTATCAATGGTGGGGTTTGTGGGGTCATTTATAGGCTCCCTCAGGTGGTTGCCGAAGAATCCTAACTTTATACATTTCTATTTCAGGTGAATTGTTGTACATTTTGTTGAAGATCCAGTGCATGTAAAATGCAAGAACATAAGAAAACATAGTCTGCTGCAGCGTACCCTCTATGCTGCATGTTGGATGAGTTGATCTACAGTTTTGCATTCAAGTTCATTCAAATGGAGCATTGCACTTTAAGGCCTAGTTCACATGGGTGGTAAAGCTGGGTAGTTGATGTACGGTTTACCACCCCTTAAAAATAGTGGCTACATTCATTTTTCATTTTTATTTTCACTCATTTCACTTCCTGTTTTAGGGTGGCTCCACTCTGTGGAGGAGCAATGGAGCCACCCTTGGACATCAGCATTGTCACCCTATGGGGAGGGTAGTATAAAGCTGGCCAAATACTAGTACATTTCCACATAACCTTTCGCACAAAAGATCCTTAGTTTAACGTTCTATTAGTTGATGGGGTCAAATCGAAATTTAATTGTGATGAAAAAACTCGGCAGCAGGATAGAAAATGTTTCTCGAGCGAATGAAATTCTAACAGTGAATGTGGTTTTCGTTCGGGAAACTCCATTTATTTCAAAATGGAATCTTAAAATGAAACAAAATTTAGTTTGACATTAAAGTGCTTGATGGCATTATCGGGTGGTAAAGAAAGATCTTTCATTTGGAAATCTACTAGTGCATGGCCAGCATTAGATAGGCTAGAAGATTAAGATAAAATTAACAACAAACTAAATTTGAACTCCAGCTAACATTTTAAGCAGTTACAGCAACTGTTTTTTTCCTCTTGGGATGAAGGATTTACATAAATGAACAAAAGCCAACCATTGTTAGTACCCCTGCCAGTGGTAAGGCTTGCCTCAATGCTCTATCTGCCATTTTTGCTGGACAGCTTAGTCTGGCAAAGGATGTTAAAAAATAACAGACTTAGGCCTCATTCACACGACAAACAGCTGGCCGGTACAGATCTGTGCTGCGTGCATGGCCGTATTGGGCCGCTCCTGGGAAGGACAGGTGCTGCGTGTGATTTGTATGCAGCAGCCTGTTCTTCTCTATAGGAGTACACGGCCATACACCACCCTACGGTTACCTGAACTGCACGTCCGTGCGGGTGTGAGTGTCTGTACTTGTATGCTGACAGGATGGATCCTGTCTGTGTCCGAGCAGGGACACCCGCACCCGTACGGACGTGCAGTTCGGGTGAGCGTA